TCAGTCCGTCAGGGTGCTCCCTGGTCTTTCCTCCCCTCCCCCATCCTTGGTATAGACGCTAAGGGGCCCTGGATCTTTGGGAAGGGGCTTCTAGCGCTCAGTATCGATCTGTCAAGCCTCTTCTGGCATCTGCTTACTGTAACCTGGGGTCCTCAGCCTTCTCCTTTAAAACCTGCCTTTCTGTCCCTTCTCCTCTACTGCTGCCAGTAGAGGGTCCCTGCACTGAGTCTGACTCTTATTTCTTCTTCTTTTTTTTTTAATTTATTTTTTGGGGCACGCTGCACAGCCTGTGGGATCTTAGTTCCCTGACCAGGGATCGAACCCATGCCCCCTGCAGTGGAAGCGCGGATTCTTAACCACCGGACCACCAGGGAGGTTCCTCTTATTTCTTTATACTCCCATCTCAGCTCAAAGGATCTCTCCTCAGTTCCCCAAATCTAAGAAGCTGACATCTTTGTGCCCTGGTTCCTCGGTGAGAGCGCCGTCCTAGGAGCAACGCCTGCTTCATATCTCCAGTCACAGAGAGGGGGAATTTAACATATTTAAGGAGAAAAATTATTTAATATTTCATAGTATCAGCCTGCCATATCTATAATTGTCTTGTAATTGTAACTTTGCATTAGGGCCATTTTAACACACTACCAGAAGTACTTTGCTAGTAAGTCATAGTGGTCATTTTAGTAAGAAGTTACATCCATTGAGTGACTATAACATAATTTAGTTAATCATCCCCCCATTATTGGACATTTCCAATTTTTATCTATTATACGTAACACCGCTGTAAGAGTTAGTGGATTTTGAAAGAAAAACTTATTTTAACAAAAAGCCTGAGCATGCAATTTTATAAAATTGCTCTGAACTAAAGTGGATGGAGCAGTTGCCTGCATGATGGCCTGGTGCCCACTAGCTCTTCTGTTGCTTTTAAGATCATAAATAATTCTGCACATTAGGGGCTCAGGTTCTTGCCCTATGCTGACTGCTATCATTTGCACCACCTCAGCATTGTGAGGATGCAGTGTTTTGGAAGAGGTTAGAATCCTCAGTGGCCAAGAACTGTTATTTTCTGGGGACCGGATCAAGGAAGGAGACTGGACAGGTTAGCACATAGAATTTTCTCTTCATTGGCTTAAACTTAGCTACAACTTTATGGTTTGAAATTCCAGAGCCCTTTTTTTTTCTACAGCAGTGAAAATCTAAGTCATTTATGCTAATTTGCTGAACACAGTTTAAAAATTTCATCATTTAGGAAATTCAAGAACTGCATTGTGTTAAGAAAATAAAAATAGGGCTTCACTGGTGGCGCAGTGGTTGAGAGTCCGCCTGCCGATGCAGGGGACACGGGTTCGTGCCCTGGTCTAGGAAGATCCCACATGCTGTGGAGCGGCTAGGCCCGTGAGCCATGGCCGCTGAGCCTGCGCATCCGGAGCCTGTGCTCCGCAACGGGAGATGCCACGACAGTGAGAGGCCCGCGTACCGCAAAAAATAAAAAAAATTTTAAAAAAATAAAAAAGCAAGGATTTTGATATAGAGCTAACCAAGAACAAGAAAATGTGAATATTCTGATTTCTACAAACTAAATTTGCAAATACGCTTTATCTAAAGATACAAGATTTTTATAGAACATTTCCCAATGTCTACATTTTGAAGTCATTTTTGCTTTTATAAAACACATGGGCAAAAGGTAACCATCTTTTCCAAACAGAATTACAAACACTTGGTGTTCAAGACCAGCAATACTGCTTCTAATAAATGTGAGAGATGACTTATGTGGGTTGGCACACATAGCAAAATAGGCATTTTGGGGTACCAAAAAATTAGAAACAGTTGAATGCCCAGCAATAGAGAACTGGTTAAAATATTATGGCATGGATTTGGAATACTGTCGCTCTTAATTAAAAACTGGGCATCTCACTAAGTACAGTTATCAAAGAATTTCCAGGATGCATTGATAAATTACAAAAAAAAAAAATAACGTTCAGAAAAGTGTTTACAGTATTCTAACATTTGTGTAGAAGGAGAGAATACATATATATGCTTATTAATTCATAGACTATTTCTGAAAGAACATGAAAGGTAATACAAATTGCCCTTAGGGAGGGGAAACAAAGGCTGGGGACAAAGGAGTGAAAAAGAAGTTTTTTCATCATATAATCTTCCACCTCTGAAGGTTTGCACTGAGAACATATATTATCCATTTGAAAATGTAATTTTTTTTGGTGGTTCCTCAAAAAGCTAAACATAGAATAACTGTATGACCCAGCAACACCAGTCCTGGGTATATACCCAAAATAACTGGGACTCAGATACTATATGCCCGTGCCCACTGCAGCATTATTCACAATAGATAAAAGTGGAAACATTGGGGCTTCCCTGGTGGTGCAGTGGTTGAGAGTCTGCCTGCCGATGCAGGGGACATGGGTTCATGCCCCGGTCCGGGAAGATCCCACATGCCGCGGAGCGGCTGGGCCCATGAGCCATGGCCGCTGAGCCTGCGCGTCCGGAGCCTGTGCTCCGCAATGGGAGAGGCCACAGCAGTGAGAGGCCCACGTACAGGAAAAAAAAAAAAAAAAAGTGGAAACATTGCAAGTGTCCACCAACAGATGACTGGGTAAACCAAATGTGGTCTATATATATAACAGAATATTATTCAGCCATAGGAAGGAAGGAGATTCTGACCCATCCTACACCATGGATGAATCTTAAGGATATTATGTTAAGTGAAATAAGTCAGCCACAAAAAGACAAATATTGTTTGATTCCCCTTAGCTGAAATATCTAGACCAGGCAAATTCCTAGAGACAGAAAGTAGATTAGAGGTTACCAGAGGTTGCAGGGAGGGGAAATGGGAAGTTACTGCTTAATTATCACAGTTTCTGTTTGGGCTCATGAAAAAGTTTTGGAAATAGAGATCATGATGGTTCACAACATGTGAAGGTAATTGTTAACACTGAACAGTACACTTAAAAATGGTGAAAATGGTAAATTTTATGTTTCATATATTTTACCCCAGTAAAAAAAATTCAAATAAGATGTAATCTAATTTAAAGAAAAACATCCTGTTTAACCTCTTGTCTACCAGAGGCTTCCCAGAAACAAACATTCTTCCAACCTGACCCCATCCTCTCAAAGCAAATAGTACCAAGTGCATACTGAGTGCAAAGGTCCTCTGTTGGGCATTGCCCAAAACAGAAAGATATGTGGACGCACATTCAAAAGGGCTTATCACATAGCCTAGCCTAGCAGAGGTACCTGTCACTGTTGTGTAAAGCAAAAAAGATGCTGAGTAGGCATCCCAGCCATGTGTAGCGGGAGTGCGGAGGCAGGAGCAAACCGATTTTCACTGGCACATCCAGGATGGCTTGATGGAAGGAGCCGGTTATCAGCTCCTCTCTGCGAGGCAGAGAAGGACATCCAGGCTCAGGGGGCAGATGAGTTAGGTTGACTAACCTGCCTTACTGGGGGTGCACCTCTGAGCGCAGGGCAGTGGTGTCCAGTCACTGGAGTGTGGGCCTGGGAGGACCAGACCAAAGGTGATTCTGTAAAGGCAGTTGAAGCCAGATGGTGTCAATTTTCAACAGTAAAATTCGTTTGGACTTTTAAATACCGGCTGTGAGGAAATAGCATAGGCATTCTTTCTGTTCTTCCCACTGTCCTGTTTACTATCTAGGAATGTGAGCTTCGTACCCTTATTTGACAGATAACTTTAACCATTTATATATTTTTTTTAAATGGGTTTTTCCAACTCAAACTGTGTTTGCCATCTAGCGATTAATCCATGCCATTACAACACCCTGGTTCAGATTCCTCATTTCTCAGCACTGCGGTTAAAGCTCATAGGCCTCCAGACTCCGTTCTGTTGGTCGTGGCTTCTGTCTCAAACTGCACTTTCCCTGTGCCCTGATATGTACAGTATGTTGGCATCAGAGACCTCAGTAATGAAACCTGATCCCTCTGAGAGTAGTAATAATATTCACCTGGAAGAAAAATGTAGCTGTTTAGAAGACAACGCACCTTAGAAATTAAGTATTATGAAAAGTTTAAGTAGGTTCCGATTTGAAAATTAACCCGTAGCAGCATCTTCGTGTGAATGCAGACTTCTCACATAAACTGGCGAGATTCTGACCATAAGGGATACCACAGTCATCTCCAGACTTTCTCTTCTTCCTGTGTGTTTTCTAGGGATAAGGATATTAACAGTCTAGCCTCCAAAGAGGCAATACCTATTTGAACACAATTCTCCAAATTTCTGACTTTCTGAATGCAGATCAAAGTTAGGAGCCCCACTTTCTGCTTCTGTTTCTTTTCTTTCAAAAGCTGTTCAGTTGGGACAGCAGACCAAGAAATATTGTGTTACGTCTACAGGAGATTTAAAACTCAACATCAGTCATTCAAAATTCTTCACAGGCCCAGGGTAACATTTTGCATCTGAAGCAGAGTTTTCAGAGATGAATCAGAGTTTCTAAACAATGCTGATTTCTGCATTGGAAAATATACTGGGTTCAATATCTTTTTTTGCCCCTGAGATTTAGGCTGTGGGAGCTCATTTACTCAGTAATTACTAACTGAATGCCTACTATTTGCTGGACTCTGAGCTCGGTACTGTGGCTATAACTTGTTATACATAAAACAGTTGGGATAACGTCTTTTTCGAAACTTTATTATAACCCCTCCACCTCCCATGGGACCCAAGCAAGGCTTTTTTACAGTGAATTTTGTCCTAGGAAGGATTGTGCTATAGAGAGATAGTGGGTACAATTCCCACTTTACTGCCAAGTTCAGCTTACTTTTCAGGTTGTTATGAACGGTTAGCCTGGGTAACAGTTTCTGGCCTTTAATCCAACAGCATCCCCTTCCCTGCCAAAGCCTGGAACGTGAGAGAATGTATCGTAGGGAGCCATTCACTCAATCTCCAAAACGATGTGAACTGCTTGACTGTCATTTTTAACTTACTGTGTCTTTTTCTGTGTGTATGTGCAACTCTTTCCATCTGACTTTTGCAGGGAAAGCCAGAGATACCGGGTTTATGTTGTGATACCACTTCTGCCAGGTTTTGAAGGAGACATTTCAACCGGTGGAGGAAATGCTCTACAGGCAATAATGCACTTCAACTACAGGTGCCAAAGTTCTAAAATCCTCTGTTTACAGCTTTCAATCAGTTATGCATGTAAGCTGGCGAAAGCAATGGAAATGTTTCTCCACATCTATTCAGTGGAGCATTGAACAGATGGACACTTTGCTTTATTTTACTTTTGAATCTTGGCCTGTTTACTAGTTGATAAAATTCAAATAGAGCCTAAAATCATAAATGGTAGGCCTAGGACACATGACACATATAAAAGAACTAAAATATTAGTGTCTCTTTTATACTCATTGCCTATCACATATATAGAGTGCTTGTCTCCATTTATGAGGTATATATATATACACACAATATATATGAATATAAAAAAGACTAATATTTTGTTCTTTTAATATATATTAATATATTATAAATGCAGACAAGGACTTTATATAGAAACAGATATGAAGTCCTTTATACATAATTAATTTTTAAAGATAATTTTAAAATTATCTTTAAGCCACCAAATAGTTATTGAGCTTTCCATATTCTTTGCAGTAAGTAGATGAAAGAAAAAAATTAAATGCTTAAAATGGTATGATTTGCACATATTAGTTTATGATTTTTCTAGGCAGTGATCCTTCAACAAGGTTGGTAGTAATAGTCTCTGCCAGTAAGTGAAGCGTGAAGGTTCTTTCCTGTCTCCTGGAATGTTAATTGTTTTCCCTGCCATCACTTTGTTAAAATTTTAGGGAACGTGGTAAGTCCTGTTCTCAATATTCTAAAAAGCAGAGTTTCCATATTCACGCAGAAAGGCACATGAGACTTCAGACTTGGCCAGTGGAAGATTGTGAGGGGGGTTGAGAGGTGCTAGCTGGTGGGCGGGTGTAGAGAGGTGCTGTAGAAAGTGATGGAAAGGCCCCCCTGACGTTCTTTTTGGGTCGCTTAGCTGAGAAGAGGTAAATGGACAGGCCTGGCATGAATCCAGCTCCCAATTATAAGCTCTGTGACCTGAAGCACAAAAGAGCCCTACTCAGGATCACACTTAATAAGTCAAAGCAAGGACTAGCGCCTGGATATTTTCTTTTAATATCCCCTGTTCGTCAGAACCACCTGTAGTTTCCCACCTTTCTAATCAAATTCTTTTGTGGGGGAGGGACAAATGAAGTCTTGCCCCAAACCCCCAGTGTGTAAAGCAGATAAGGGTTCAGGGCCTTGGTCAAATTGGGGCCGGGGGCTTAGATGCCCTCTTGCTCGAGTCCCCCTCCCTAGAGGCACCTCCTCAAGATCTAAGGTCCTCCAGGCACAGTTTGAGCGCACCACTGTGGTGGAAATCTTCTTTTTTTAATCCTCTTGCTTCTTTCCGACTTTTTAAGCTTGTATCTTTCTGTCTGCCGGGGTTTCAAGTAAGGCGTTTTGTTTCATCTGGGGTAATTTTGCCTCATTACAGTATGAGGAAACTTTAACTGTGCTTTGGTCTATACACTTGGATTGAAGATTTGCCCATTTCTAATATTATCTGATTTATAACATGGCAAACAAAGCTTTTCAAGTATTTAAGGCACTTAATGTTTTAAGTATTTAAAGCAATAATGTTTAATTGGATTTTATCCACTTCATTTGCCATGCTAACATTATTTTTGGAATATTATCGATTGTAATTATTTTCTGTAACTATTTTCTTGGGTGTGAACCAACTGAATGAAATAACATGCTTCGCTTTTGTTCAGCAACCAAAACTATAACCTTTTATTATGCAAAAAATCTCTATTTTCTGGCATCATCTTTAATAATATCAGCATTTCCCAGGCATAACTGTACTTTTAATTACTTTCACAGAGCAAAGTAGATGGAACATAGAATTTTTTGTCTTGTCGGTCTTTATAATTCATCGACTATTATCGGAGTCTTGAGAAGCAAAATCATTAGTAGAGGCAGCTATTTGAGACTATATTTTTCACTTTTAAGGGGTTTTCTGACTTTACAGAGACAGCTCAGGTATAATAGTTTCCTTAATCCCAGAATTACTCTGCTAAGTTTGCCCTTTTCACCTCTGAAAGTAATATGATTCTGTAAGTATTCTTATCTATTGTGGCATTCTAAGTTTATCTTTGCAGTCGCCACATTTTCTAAGTGGGAAAGCTCATTCATAACCCATCTTTTAAAAATAGCATCTCTTTCTGAAATCTAAGATCAATTTTATAACTTTTCCATTTACGCACTTCAGAATAACTTGTCCCATCAATAACATTACAGAAGTGACATTGATTTTTTTGGCTTTTAAAAAATCTTCTCATAAAAGCACTTGCTCTATTTTTATTTGGATTAGGACTCTACCCCACAGATATTGCAATTGAAACCTTTGAAACCTCTATAATTATTTCTTTCCTTTACATATGTTCAGAACCATGTGCAGAGGAGAAAATTCCATCCTTGGACAATTAAAAGCAGAGAGTAAGTAACTGCTTTTCTTTTCCTCCATGGTTGTTTTTGGTGACATATCAGTGATTATTAATGTTTTCACAGTGTGGTTATAGGACTCTTCACGAAAGGTAGCCCACAAAATGCTTAACAGAAATAAATTACTTATTCTCATTAAACTGTCCAAACAGATGTTCAAATGAAGACATCACAGCATGAGCTGCATAGGTGATAAAAATGAGAGTATGTTTACAATTTTTTATAATTTATTTATAATAATTGTTTTGGTAAGAAGTGGGATTTGTAAGGCACTTCAGAATGACCTCGTATGTATCTTCTCTTGCGATCCTTCACCACGGTCCTGGGAAGTAAGCAGGAAGGTGTCATCCCTGCTTTAAAGATGAGGACGCAGTCAGCATGTATATACGTGGCCTCCTACAGATGTAGAAGTCCCAGGGTCCTCACACACTGTCATATTTAGGGAGGAAAACTAATTATATAACCATTTTAACACCATAACACTTGACTAAATCTTCGAGGGTATTATACTGGAGGTAAGTAAATAAGAAAAAACCCCACAGTAATACCTTTTACTCCTGAAATTCTTCACATTTTCAAAGGCACTTTCTCAGATATCTTAATTGATCCTTCCACATAGTTCTTAGCTACAGTACATTGTAATTGTGGGTTTACTTACCTATATCTCTGTGAACTGACTCTAAGTTTAGCACATAGTAGGTACTCAATCATCTTTTATACCCTGAACAGTAGGTACAGAAAATTCCACAAGAACTAAGCTGAAGAAAGAACCCAAATTGTCTGACCTCCAGTTCATATCGGATTAAGATTGTGAAAATTTGTAGGTCACATTAAAAAGACTAGATTTTTATCCAGAAAAAGACAAGGTATGGTGTTGAATGCCTCTGATCACTGATTGAACTCATCAAAGTGGTGTTTATATCAAAGGTCACTGACTGATGGCAGGTGAGAGAAAATGGTGCCTTGGGAATGGATAGAAAGGTTATGTATGGATAAAACTGTGAAGGAGCATTTGAGGGGATGTGGGAGCAGAAGAGTAAGGGAAGGGTCAGATAATCCTAAGAGTTTCAGCCCAACTTATCAGGAGGATGGGGCTGCCACAGGAAGGTCTAAAAGGTCAGGAGCCACCGCAATCATGATGCCCTGTGGTGTGGCGTTCACATACGCTATACACCTCAACTGAGGTTTTTGAAAATTTTAGTTTACACTGGGAGCCTCCTAAACGTGGTGCACTGGGTGATGTATCAGAATGTGGGGAGAACAAATTAGGCCTTCCATGTCTGTATATTTTTCCTCAAAAATAAAGAATTAGGACATTAGCAGGAATGGTATAGTAAGGATCCCCCCAAATCCACTCCTACATAAAAGCAACAAAAACACTCACAAAAATTGTCAAAAATCGACTTTTTCAGCACTCTGGAAATTAACCAAGGGCATGTAACAATCTGTTTATTCAAGAAAGACAGCAGAGAGCTTCCCTGGTGGCGCAGTGGTTGAGAGTCCGCCCGCCGATGCAGGGGACACGGGTTCGTGCGCCGGTCCGGGAAGATCCCACATGCCGCGGCGCAGCTGGGCCCGTGAGCCATGGCCGCTGAGCCTGCGCGTCCGGAGCCTGTGCTCCGCAACGGGAGAGGCCTCAACAGTGAGAGGCCCACGTAGCGCAAAAAAAAAAAAAAAAAAAAAAAGCAGAATCTTGGTAAAAGCAGCAAGCTTTTTAATTTGCCGTATGCCCATCCCCCTCTCCTCATTTCACAGTGGCCTTGAAAACCAACTCCCCATCACTGTGAAAGAAAGCCAACAGCCTAGCAGCCACTGGAAGGAGCCAAATGGATTTGAAGCTCCCATTCCCCAACAGTTCTCAGAGAATTGTCCTAATTTCACCCGTCTGACAGTTTAAAAGACTTTAAAATGGCTAGTTTAACTATGTTCAAAAAACTAAAGGCAACAAATCTAAAGACTAAAGAGAAGTCTGAAAACAATCTCTCCCCAAATGGTATAAAAAAAATAGAATTTTTTAATTTAAAATTTTTATTAATTTTTTTACATAAAAAGAACCAAATACGAATTCTGGAGTTGAAAAGTATAACAACTGAAATGAAATGTGCGTTGGAAGACTCAGTAGCAGATTGGAGTAGGCAGATGAATCAACAAACTTGAAGATAGGTCAATTGAGATTATCCAGTCAGAGGACCAGAAAGATAAAAGAATGCAGAAAAATGAATAGGGCATTTAGAACAGCCAAAATAATCTTGAAAAAGAACAAATTGGAGGACTCATGCTCCCAATTTCAGAACTTACTATAAACCTACAGGAATAAAACCAGTGTGGTGCTGATGTAAGGATAGACATATAGATCACAGGAATAGAACTGAGAATCCAGAAATAAACTCTTATGATTATGGTCACTTGAATTGCAACAAGGGTTCCAGGACAATTCAATGGAGAAAGAATATTCTTTTCAGCAAATGGTGATGGAACAACTGTATATTCACATGCAAAACAAGGAAGATGGACCTCTACCTCACACCACCTACAAAAAATAAGTCAAAATGGATCAAGACCTAAAATGTAAAAACTGAAACTATAAAACTCTTAGAAGAAAACATGGGCACAAAGCATTATGACCTTGGATTAAGCACACGTTTCTTGGGTTTATAACAAAAATGGATAAATTGGATTTCATCAGACATAAAAGCTTTTGTGCTCCAATGGACACTATCAAGGAACTAGAAAAAAATGACAGAATGGGAGAAAATGTTTGCAAATCATATCTCTGGTAAGGGATTCATATCCTGAATATACAAAAGAACATTTACAAGTCAACAATAAAAAAATAATCCAATTTAAAAATGGGCCAAAGATCTAAATAGACATTTCTCCAAAGAAGTTACACAAATGGCTAATAAGCATATAAAAAGATGCTCAACATAATTAATCATTAGGGAAATTCAAATAAAAGTCACAGGATACAACTTCATATCCACTAAGATGGCTATAATTTAAAGCATAAAAAAGATAATGATGAGAATATGAAGATATTGGAACCCTCATATGTTGCTGCTGGTCATTCAAAATGGTGTGGGTTCTTTGGAAAGCAGTTTGGTAATTCCCTAAAAGTTAACCATAGAGTTACCATATGACTCAGCAATTCTCCATAGAATATACCCAAGAGAACTGAGAACATATGTTCACACAAAAACTTGCACATGAATATTTCTGGCAGCATTATTCACTATAGCCAACAGGTGTAGACAACTCAAGTATCCATTAATGGGTGAATGAAGAAACAAAATGTGTATATCCATACAGTGGAATATTATTTAAATCTAAAAAGGCATGTACTGATCCATGTTACAACATGGATGAACCTTGAAAATATTATGCTATGTGAAAAGCGAGACACAAAAGGCCACATACTGTATAATTCCATTTTTATTCAGTGTTTTTAATAGGCAAATCCCTGGAGGCAGGACAGTAGATTAGTCATTGCCAGGGTCTGGGGAGAGAGTGGAATGGGGAGTGACTTCTAATGGGTACGACATTTCTTTTTGGAGTAATTAAAATGTCTTAAAATTGGATAGTGGTGATGATTGTACAGCTTTGTGAATATACTTTAAAAAAAACACTGAACTGAATACTTTAAAGAGATGAATTTTATGGCATATGGATTTTTAAATGACTTGGAAGTTTAAAAATAATGAATTAAGCCTTTAGGACTACATAATTTTAAACTTACCTATTGGTGTGTGGTATTCAATAATTTTTCACTAATGGTCTCCTCAATCTAAAAAATCTTAGAAAGAACTTTGGACATAAGACATGTACATCACCAATAATAAATAATTTCAGGGACTTACCTTGTGGTCCAGTGGTAAAGAATCCACCTTCCAATGCAGGGGACACCGGTTCGATCCCTAGTCTGGGAACTAAGATCTCACATGCCGCAGGGCAACTAAGCCCGCACACCACAACTATTGAGCTCACGCGCCTCAAAGAGAGAGCCCGCGTGCCGCAAACTACAGAGCCCAACGCCTTCTGGAACTCGCGCACCACAACTAGAGAGAGAAAACCCACACGCCGCAACTAGAGAGAAGCCCAAGCGCTGCAACGAAGAGACCGCGCCTTAACGAAAAGATCCTGCATGCCTCAACAAAGATTCCATGTGCCACAACTAAGAGCCAACGCAGCTAAAAAATTAAGGAAAATAAATAAATTAAAAAAAAAATACTTTCAAAAGGTGTATCTAATTTTATCCAGGACATAGATTTACCAGAGTATTACCCTATCTCTATTTTCTAACAGTTGAAAATTAAACTGATAGTGAATGAGTAAGGTTCTAAAAGATATATTGATTAAAAACAAAATCAGGAAAGCCATTCGGTAATAACAGTGGCTAGTAAAAATGCAAAGTGAGGTTATAGGAGAATAAGAAGTCAGAACAAGCCTATTATTTAGTTTCTCAACCATAAAAGTGTCCTGAACTTACTATAAAGCATTTTCTTTGGCTCTGGACCCTTTTCCTGTCTCTGCCTATTTTGGGGAAAAATTGGATTTTAACATAAGTCATTTCAATGTTAAGCCCTCTTATGAAAAGAGTTCCAAGTACCCTGGGAACAAGTCAAAATCATGCATCTCAGTGGGGAAAATGTTCATTGAACATGGAAGAACAGATTAATTACATAATGCCCCTTTTTGAGGTACAATGTTGTATTGTTGGTTTTGTTTTTGTAAATGTATAGTGGGTTTTAAATACATGAACTAACTAATCTCTAATTGGATAGAGAGCTGTAGTTTTTAGAAATAACAAAACTGCTGCTACGAATATGTTAAAATTCCTGAAAAGAAAACCAGCTGCGATTAGTGTATGATTTTCTGATACACTAATCTTCAGGGATTTAGTGTTTAATTTAAAGCATTTCTTTATTATTTTTATAATTGTTGTGAATTATGGCATTTTAGCAGCCAATTTCGTTTAATTTAACCCAAGGTCTAGA